ATATATATATATATTACTTACTATTTGTACTACTATTCCTACTGCATAGTTTTTCCACTTATCGCTGGTCTTCAGGGTACGGATCCCCCGCGATAAACGAAGGGCCATTGTATTAGCAACAAACGGATTAAACAGGTTGATGTCCCTCGATGTTGAAGAGGCGAAATTAGTGTCAAAGTGAACAGGGAAACCTAAATGTTTTTGGATCAAGATATTCAAGTGATGAGGCATTACACTGTGAAGAAGGTGATGTAGCTTTAAGTGTTTTTTTCTTGCCCGAGGCGGCGCAGAGTGACTAATCCTGCTGAGAGGAGGAGGCAGTTTCATCCATGATCAGAAGCAGTGGTGGAGCCAGGGGTGCCCAGTGGTGGCCTTGAACCACCATATATTAATATTTGGCCACCCCAGTCATTTGAGAAAACTTTTAAGCAAAATAAAAACTAGAAAGCAAAGTTCCCTCAAATGTTTGGGGTGGTCGGTTTGCATGTGCTTATGGTGGAGGCCATATTGGATTTTGATGTGGCAACCCAATTTTTGTTGGTGACCTTTCTTACGCCTAGATGCAGCCACACACCAAAAAGTTATCGTGTTCACAACATGCACGGATGGAGAGGTGTCGCTGCGAAGCTCTTCATGAGGCTGAAATTTCGAATGCATTTCAAACTTCATACAAAGTGAGCTTTCAAAGCAGCGCTCTTGTAAAGCCAGAAAATTAATCACCAGATTTCAACAAACTCTGGATCATTTTTAAGCTTGTGAGGTGGAGAATTTGGCCCAGTTGTTGTTTCCAGTCCACAGTGGGGTCTGGACCCCCGCTTTAGGAACCACTGATGCAGTTGGTCAACATGACAAACTGGACATCATTAACCTCACGCAGACTCTCCCACTGGTACATTTTCATCTTTAAATCACTTCTTGGTCTGCTGCCTTCATACATCTCCTCCTACATGTCTCTGTGTGAGTGCAGCTACAGCGTGCGCTCTCAGAACATTATTACCTGCAGTGTTCCCTCAGTGAGGACTGAACTAGACAAAAGGGCGTTCTCCTACTCCGCTCCTGTTTCCTGGAATATCTTACAAAAAGATTTGAAGCTCTTGACCTCTCTAAGTGGCTTTAAGAATCTGTTGGACTCCTGGCAGGGACCAATGCAGACATGTTCCTGTTTTTAGTTTTATACATTCGCCTTAGAATCTAGCTGTTTTTTTTGGGTTTTTTGTTGTTGTTACCTATTCCTTTTAGCCATCCTATTTGTAAAAAAAACCAAAAAAAAAAACCTGCAGTATGCCTTTTTATAACTGTTTATTGTTGTTGCTGTTGTCCATTGTTGTCATCTTTCTTTGTTGAAATCAGGTCTCTCTTGTAAATGAGTCCTCGAGGCTCAATGGGATTTACCTGTCTAAATAAAGGTTGAATGAAAACTTATTCAGTAAATCTCACCGATGTATGGCCTGTGGGTAGAACCAAAGAAATACGTCCGGGAGCACGACAGAGGTCCTACAGGAGCGACGCATTGAAGAACCTGTTTACAAACAAAGAATCGTTAAATTCAGTTGATATATTTATCAGTTTTTACAAAATGACCAAACCTGAACATTTAGTCATCAGTTAGAGGAAAATGAAGCGGACAGTTTCATATTAGTTAAAATACTTTCCATTATATTCTAACTTGTTTTAAGGGTTTTTAATATACTTTTATTAAGTTCAGCTGTTTTGTTATATTTTGTTCAATAAAACTTATTTTTATATAAAGAAAACTTATTTCAGTCGACCTCTAAACTTTTTAAATGGTTTGAAAATTCCCTGACAAACATCCGTGTGTCCATGCTCTGTGAACATGCTCTACCTCTGGACTCTGGTATTCAAGGCTCTCCAGTGAACAGGTTTCTGTTTAGATGCTTGCGTGAATTATTCCTGATGATGCTCTCTCCCTTCAGTCACATGTTTAATATTTAGGTAAGAGACTAAAGTTAAAACCAGGTTTTTCCTTCAGAATCAGATCCTGCCTTCCTTTTAAGGAAACTCGTTGCTGCGAAGTTTGTCAGTTCTAGATTCTGGTGATGGTTTATAAATGCTTGAGTCTTCTCTGTATTTCACTCACCTGACTGTTTATTGTGGTGCTCTTTGTTTAATTACAGATTCTAAAAAAATCAACACTTCACTGAGTTGGGAGTCCCGGCTGATGGTCCTCCTCGTCCTTCCGTAGATTAAATCATTGGTATGTATTTCTACATAAGGCTGTTCTGGGTCTGCTCCCTTCTTAGCTCCTCGTCTACACAAATCACTATTTGTCTGAAGGATCTTCACTTTGTAAGTAAGTAAAACTTTATTTATATAGCGCTTCTCAAGATAAAAATCACAAAGTACTTGGACAAATAAAATACAGAAGTGCACAAAACAAATTTAAGCAAAGGCAGATACCGTTTTTGCTGTTAAAAGCTTGTTTTATGAAACTTTGTGTTTGGTTCAGGACACTAATAAATAAGATTTTTAATTTCATGAACTTTTCTGGTGAAATAGAGGAAATAATAATAAAAAATTTTTAAAAAAAAAACGACAGATCAAATGATCCAAGTGACAAACTGTGGTTTTATTTACGAGAGGCAAAAGCTGCATTAATCATCTTAAAGGACGTCCACGTGTTGTTCCAGACTCTGTCACCGGGTGGCGCTGTGGCCAGTTTTATTTTAGTTTAGGCTTTTACAATACAATGCAACTTTATTTTTATTGGAGATTATTCGGTCAAATAGAAACTCTGGAGTTTTGTCCGTGATCCGTCTCCTACAGTAAACCCAAACCACAGACCTGGTTTTGGTTCAGTTTGAGCTTCTCACCATGTGCTGGGCTGCAGAACCTTCAGAACCCGTGTTCCGGACCTGATGGCTCTCTGAGGGAAAGCTGAAGGAATAATTGTCCAGATCCTCTGAAGACGAATGTTTTCCGAACAGCACAAATGGCTGACGGCGTTTACTGTGAAACAGAAACATGTATTATGGCACAAATACTTTTTCACGTTTTATATTTTTATATTGTTAAATAAACAAACATGTGGAAATGACAAAATTCAGTCAGAACTTGTTGTAAAGACCTTTTCTCTGTGATGTTGTTTGAAATCAGTCCATGAGTGTAGAAAGTACGAAACGCCTGCGAAGAGACAAGAAAAACTTCATAAAAACAAACAAACTGTGATAAATTTAACAGAATGTCTGAAAATACTTTTAGAACAAAAAGTATTTGTTCCTTCGTCTGTGAGCCGTTAGTTTACCGGAGTGTAGAATTGTCAACTTCGAATGTTTTGGGTGACCCAGATCAGTTTAGCGACTCAGATCAGTCCGAGTCTTTAAAGTGACCCGAGTTTAAAACCTCTACATCCGACCCCCCCCCCCCCCCCCCCCCCCCCATGATGAACAACTCGTGTTTGTGCTTTCCAAAACCTGGCAGCCATGTTGGAATCAGCTGGGGGGAAACACACCTCCCCTGCCTGGGCCTCAGACAGGTCCAGGATGGACAGGTGAGTCTCCAGGTCCAGGCTGGAGAAGAAGCTGCTCCACTGCTTCTCAAAACACCCCAGGTCCTGACAGAGAACAAGAACCAGTGGGTCAGAACGTAGAACCTCATGAGAACGTTTTGACACATTTATCATCTGTGATAAACCAACAGAAGCTCCGAACTCAATAAAAACATTTTTAATTTATTCTGTTCATCTGAAACGGATTCTTTGTTGTTGAACTGGTTTTTACCTCGGCCAGGAGGTTCTCCAGGGACACCGGGTCCAGTCGGTTATAAACCTGCCACAGCTTCTCACTCATGTCCATCAGCTGGACAACGAAGACACAGAACAGAAGAGGAGCTGGAGAACGTTGAGAACATTGAAATACTGTTTTTAACGTATTTTAAGCGCACCTTGTATTTGATGGTAAAGAAACTTCCTCCTCCGATGCCTTCCAGGGCGAACGCCTGGATCAGGGGCCACTTTTCCACCGTGAAGATGTCAAACTTCTGGACATGTCCTGAAAGAAGAACATCATCCTCTTGTTCTTAGCTGCCCATGAGCGGAGGGGATAGACGTGAATGAAATGAAAACAAACGCACCCTGAGAGCTGTAGGGGACGCCGATACGATGGCAGTCCTGCACCATCGCGACAAAACTGGAGATTTTGAATTCTTCTGCTGCTTCTTGGTCTTCGTACTGGAACAGGAAGTGAGAGCGAAACGATTCACACTCAGCGGCTTCAGTTTAAACAGTTTAACTTGTGGAGGAGGGAGAACCGACGTCTCCGAGGAGTTCAGAACTTCACAGACTTATAAAAACGTTGTTTCCCCGAGCAGCAGAAAAAAACAACAAGTCTGTGAGTTGAACCAAAACAAAATGTCAAAGTTAAAAATAAAAGAAACTAAATAATTTGATTAAAACCCAAAAAAGGAGAAAACTCATGTTTGACCTTTGAAAGAAGAAATGCTCATCACCCGCCGCCATTCTAACCAGAGAGTCCAAACACCGGGACGTACAGAGGTTCATAAAACAATTTATTTTCTGAGAGTTTCGTTAAAATCCACCGGGTGGTCTGCAAGATATTTTGCTAACAAACACACACACAGGCAGTTACATGATCACCCATCCTTCTTGGAGGCAGATGAAGACAGTTTCAGTGAGACGCCCGTCAACAAGTGAGACGAAGACGTCAAATTTCTGCTTAGAGTTACAAAATGTATTCGGATGGATTCAGATCCTCCAGGTGGAGGAGTTCAGGTATCTGGAGGTCTTGTTCCTGAGTGATGGTAGGATGAAGCGGGGCCTCATCCTCAATAATGAGGACGTTGCTCCGGTCATTCATGGTGAATAAATTGTTTAGTCCAAAAGCAAAGCTGTGGATTCACTGGTCTGGCTACGTTCCAACCCTCATTTGTGGTAATGAGGTTTGGATCACAGCGAGGGGAGTTGTGGGTGAAGGACATTTTGGTAGGCAGGGCGCTCGGCTCTGTTGGCAGGGTGGGGCCCCCTCCTTGCATAACAGTAGGAGAAACACTGAATCAGCACCTAAAGAACCAGATACGAGTGGCCGGGCTCAGCCTTAGAGATACGGTGAGCAGCTCATCATCTGGAGAGATGAGAGGAGGAGTCAGCTGGGGAGGTTTATCTGATCATGATGCCTCCTGGACGCCTCCCTTTGGAGGTTTCTCAGGCATGTTCCACTCAGAAGAGACCTCAAGACACACCCAGAACTCTCTGGAGGGATTATATATCCTCTCTGCTCTGGGAATACTTTGGGGTCTGACAGGAAAATCTGGGAGTGTCTAGACGGAGTGGGAGATCTAGATTTATCTCCTGAATTTGTTTCCTCCACAACCCGATCGTGGATTTAGGGGTAGAGGACGGAGATGGGATTCAGATCCAGAATAAGTTGTCTTCAGACGTCACAGACTCCCCTGGTTTAAACATGCAGGAACCACGAAACACAGGAAACAGCAGGTTTTTACCTCGGCCTCCATCATGCAGTAGAGGCGCAGGTTCCTCCAGTGCGACACGTAGGGCAGCAGGTAGCCGTAGTTCTGTGGGTTGCAGTAAAGGTGAACACACTCGGCCTTTATCAGGAGGATCACGTCTGACGGGTCGAGACAAGAGCAGCGTAAAAACCAAAGGCACGAGAATGACAGGGTTTAAAATACTGGGGTCAACAATCACCGTCCAACGTTTCTTCAGGAAACTCTTCCAAGGCCTGCTCCAGGTTCAGCTGATTCTGTCCATAAAGCTCATAGAAAAGGTATTTTGCCAGCTCGGTGCAGCCCATGTTATATCTGCTGTCGATTCCTGAAATAATCAAAAACACGTTTTCATCTGTTGGCTGCAGACTCAACCGTCCACTAAACACTGGGTCAGGCAAATAAAGACTGGTTTAAAACCAACAGACCCAGAGAGCAGAGGATGCCATCAGGACAGGAAGTTCCTCCTCCACGGAGCAGAGCTTGGACCTGACGCAGGCGACAACAACTGGAAATAAAAGATTAGCAGGAAATGACCATTCAGTCATGACTGTGTAAAAATATGACATTAAATCAGAGCCGCGCTCAGTAGGTCATGTAGTTGATTTTCTTCTGTCAGAATTTGTCGTAAAAACCATCAGAATCCTTCGGCTGTTTTCCATAAATCAGGTTCCATCATCGTCTGTGTTCATCAGGTCTTATTCTCCTCAGTATTAAACTGCTAAGTCAGCACTTTTGTTTAAATTTGGGTTTTATTTTACAAACTGTCTTTTAGAAGAAAAAAAAGCTGTGTCCAACTTTTTTAAGCTTTGCCTAAACTTTTGATACTTTTAGCTTGTGTTTTGCGTCTTTCAGTAAGTGTTTGGCTTTATTTAGCTATTAGTTAGCTTTTGGCTACTTTGGCTTCTGTTACCATTAGCTTAGCCTCTGATACTTTTTGTTAGACTTTTTCTACTTTTGGCTTTTAGTCTTCAGTTAGTGTTAGCTAGAATTTGCTACTTGTAGATTTTAGCTAGAAGTTTTTACTTTTGGCTTGTATATTGTATAGCATTCTGCTTCTTTTAGCTTTTTGCTAGAGTTTGACACAGTTAGTTAGAATTTTTCAATTTTTATATTTAGTAAACCATTTGCTGCTTTTAGGTAGCTTTGAACTACCTTTAGCTTTTAGCTTAAATTGAGCTACTTTTGATTTGAGAAAGCATTTTGCATCTAGTGTTAGCTACAGTTAGCTAGCATTTGCTACTTTTGGATTTGAAATAGTATTTTGCTTTTATCTAAGTATTTTGATACTTTTAGCAAGCCTTGTAAACTTTTGGATTTTAGCTAATGTTAATGTTAATATTAGTGTGCTATGTGTTGTCATCATTGTATGTTCCCATACAAAGATGAAATTGGCTTTCTGCATTTAACAAATCACACCTGGGACACACCCAGGTGGAGCAGTGGGCAACTATGCAAGTGCCCAGGGAGCAATTCGGGATTAGGTGTCCTGCTCAGAGACACCACGAGATGTGCAACTGTCAGATAACATTTGCTATTTTTGGATTTTAGCTTGCATTTTACTACTTTTGGCTTGTACATCGTTTCTTTTAGCTTTTAACAAGAATTTTGTACTTTTAGTTTTAGTAAGAATTTTACTACTTTAGCTTTTAGCATTTAGCTACTTTTAGATTTCAGCAAACATTTAACATTTAACTCGTCTTCAAAATTCTTCTTCTCACTTTCAAAGCTATCCACAACCTTGCCCCTCCGTACCTATCTGACCTCTTACACATCCCCTCTCGCTCTCTCAGATCCTCCTCTTCACTACACCTCCATGTACCCTCTGCCCGCCTCTCCACCATGGGGAGCAGGGCCTTCACCTGCTCTGCTCCTCACCTCTGGAACTCTCTACCCCCTGACTTAAGAAACACCACCTCTCTTTCTCTATTCAAGACTGCTCTGAAAACACATCTCTTTAGACTCGCTTATCCTTAACTTTGCTCTATGTATTTTATATTCTTTATGTATTTTATATTCTGTATTTTATATTCT